CTCCTGACTTCTGCCTGAGATTTTTTGTATTGTATCATATGTTGGAAATTATGAGTTCTTTTCAGTATTTTAAATGCCCTGTTTCTGTTTTTCACTGTTACTTTACACACCTCATTCCACCATGGAACCACTTTCACCTTTGTTTTTCCTTTACTTTTAGGGACTGACAATAGAGCAGCATTAATTATACTTGCTTTTATTTTGTTATCTACATCTTCTATATCCATATTGCTACATACTTGTAGTAATAATCTCTCACTTTCTTAAACAACTCCAAATTGGCTTTTCCAAATATCCATTGACCCCTTCTGTTTCCTAATATAGGTGGAGTATTAACATTTACTTTACAAATGATTGGATAATGGTCACTCCCTACGGTTCCCTTATTGTACATCTTCCACTCACATATTGCAGCAATATTACTTGATACCAATGTAAGATCTAGTACTGACTCTTTCCCTGATACAACATCTATCCTGGTTTTACTACCATCATTCAAGCAAACTAAGTTCTTGTCTTCCAACAAATCCTCTATTACCACTCCATTAATGTCGGTTTTCTCACTACCCCACAGTGAATTATGAGCATTAAAATCCCCACACCAATTAATATTAGTCTTTTCCAGTCCTTCTATGTTACCTAGTTTATCTAACTCCAGCCTTTTGCATGGGTTATAATAATTCAATATAACCAGACTCTTCTTCCCAGCCCATACCTCTACTGCTATGTATTCATCTTCATTTCCTAATCCTACTACTCTATATGGCATCCCTTCTTTGATGAAGGTTGCACATCCCCCACCCCCTCTGTCTTTCCTATCTCGCCTGATCGCTACAAAACCATATACTACAAAGTCCAAATTAGGCTTTAGCCATGTCTCTTGAATACACAAAATATCAGGCCTCTCATTTCTACTCTTCATAAATTTCTTAAAATCCTGTCCATGAGCAATCAAACTTCTTGCATTCCATTGTAATATTAAAATGATTAAGATTAACCCACACATGTTACTTCTTGGCTAGATTGTTCACTAAGACTGTCCCGAATTTCCTCCCATTTCAACCCTATCATATCAAGGTGGTGCACTGCTGCTTTAACAACAATTTGAATCCTTTCTGTTTTTGACTTCACATCTGCAGTTGCATTTATCATAAAAGTTACCAGATTCTTCTTTTCGCTCCACATCTCTTTTTTCACTCTGCTCCTCCTTTCCTGTCATGCCCCTTTTTCCATATGCTTGATTCATGTTCTTTTCCTTCTGTCCATATCTCTTCACTGCCTCTGCATATGACACCTTCTCTTTTATTTTGATCTGTTGGACTTCTACCTCCCGTTTTTGTGCTTCACATCCCCAATATGCAACACTGTGCTCACCTCCACAACTGCAACACTTTGGTCTGACCCCTTCTCCACACTTGCCATACTCATGATCTCCACCACATCTTGCACATCTCCTCTTCCCTTTACAATCTTTAGCCACATGTCCAAATTCTTGACACTGAAAACATCTCATTGGTTTCGGTATAAACTCTCTTACACTATACCTTATAAACCCAAAGAAAATGTCTCTGGGAATTTCCTTGGTCTCGAACTCAACCAGAACAGTCTCAGTCTCTCTTTTCTCCACTCCCCTCATCATTCTTCTTGCATTTCTGACTGTACTGTTGCGTACTTTAAGATGCTCAACTAGCTCTTTCATTGTAACAGTTAGTGGCACTCCAGCAATCACACCCTTTCCACCTTCATTTCTTTTTCCCCCACTCTTACTACTTGACTCACCTTTGCTTTCCCCAGGTGTGTTAACTTTTTTGCTTTTTCAATTTGTCCCTCACTGTGTCATCCAATCAACAAATTTCCATCCCCCAAAATTTTAGCAAAGTTCACCTCTCCTACCTGCGCTCTAATGACTTTGGTCAGTTTCATTGGATCTGATTTCTTTACACCTCCCTCTCCTTCAAACCTGATCACTACTATTGCGGCTATATCGGCCTTTGCAGGTCGTCAAAAAGTTTTGCCGTGAGGGACTAAACACGGGAGTGAAGCTGTGACGCGCTGTCGTTATAAATGACTTCCAGATCCAAGATGCTTTAGTCATTTATTCTTCCAAATCAAAACAAGATACTACAAACGCTGTTTTCGGATCATCAAATAAACTTGCGATCGCAGTGCAGTGTAGTGTGGCGGTCAACAGAAATTGTCTCTTCCCACGCTCACCTCCACTCTCCATCCAAGCCAAAAACCAGGTGAACAGGTGAGTGCGGCCCATATAATCACTGCCATCACCACGAGATTCCCGGTGAACACACCCACCACCAGTAACAAGCAGACCGTAAACAATAAACAAATCAGTAAACAACCCATGACACCAAATACACAATCAACTTACATTTATGGCTCCTACATTCCGGCCCCTAATTATTATGACACAATAATTATCTAACATTTAATTATATAGGAGACAGATGAAAAACCTTTAAATATACAGTTAGTTTTTAGAAAACTTTCCCTTTTTTTTCTTCTTAAAAAATACAACAAGAGAAGTTCAAAAGTTCCTTAATCCAAAAAGAGTGATCTTTACATCATGCAGTCAAGTTAAAAAATGTCAAAGTCTTGATAAGTGTCAATGTCAAGGTCTATGAAGATCAATGGTCAGCATGCTCTCATGGCTCCTCTGCTTCCAGGAGGAGGCAAACCTTGGTGACAGGCCTGTCAAGGTAGCTGGTCCTGGTCTTGATCCTCACCTGACGTACTTGTCCTCTTTTATCTGGAATAGTTTGAACAATCCTTCCAGTAACCCAGGAGTTACGTGGTGCTGTGTCATCAACGATTAACACAATATCTCCAAGACTAAAGTTGCATTTAACTCTCAACCATTTCTGACGCTCCTGAAGAAGAGGCAGGTACTCTTTGATCCAATGTTTCCAAAACAAGTCAGCCATGTACTGCACTTGTTTCCATCTGCGACGGGCATAAAGGTCTTCCTTTTGAAACTGTCCTGGTGGTAGAAAAGGCTTGGTCTTTAGCAGCAGAAGATGGTTTGGAGTGAGGGCCTCCAAATCATTGGGATCAGTGGATGCTCTGGTGATTGGACGGGTGTTGATAACAGCTTCTGCTTCACAGAGAACAGTATGAAGGCCCTCCTCGTCAAGGTTCTGCACCTTAAGGCTGGAATTCAAGATCTTCCTCACAGACCTTATCAATCTCTCCCATACTCCTCCATGATGTGATCCAGTAGGGGGATTGAAAGTCCACTTTATTCTTTTTTAAAGGAGTGTGTTATTTATTAGGTCATGATTCCATTTTTCAATTGCCTCCCGCAATTCACGCTCAGCCCCAACAAAGTTTGTTCCATTGTCTGACCTCATTTCCAACACTTGACCGCGTCTTGCTACGAAGCGTCGGAGGGCATGAATAAAGGAATCTGTGTCCAAAGATGAAGCTATCTCAATATGAATAGCTCGTATTGTCAAACATGTAAAGAGTACACCATATCTTTTCACTGTACTCCTTCCTCGTTTAACCTGAAGGGGTCCGAAATAATTGAACCCAACATAAGTGAAAGGAGGTGCATCTGGAGAAACTCTGTCCCTTGGCAAGTCTGCCATCTGCTTTGACTCCCCTAGAGGCCAAATCTGCTGGATTGCTTGTGGTGTCAACATATCTCCACTGAGACTGATTAGACACGTTAAGTATCTTTGAAACCCTGTTTGCTACAAAGGTTCGAAACCTCGACGTCTTATTCTGAATGTACTTTAGTAAAGAAGTTCTGTCTGTCCAAAACACTGAATCCTGTAGAGACATCTGCAGCTCCTTTCTCCACATTACATCCATATGACTTGCAACCATAGCAGCCGTCAGCTCCATACGGGGTATGGTGATAGACTTTAATGGGGCTACTCTGGCCTTTCCCATGATAAATGCGCAGTGCGCTGTGTTGTGGATATTGTGTGATAACAGGTAAGTAACTGTCCCGTAACCACTTTCACTTGCATCTGCAAAGTGGTGCAACTGTGCACAAGTTACTTCCCCAAAATCCACTGGTTTCAGGCATCTGTCCACTTTCAAAGCTTCAAGCTGGGAAAGCTCTTGCAATCAACTTGCCCATTCTTGTGCAGCAGATGCTGGAACAACATCATCCCAACCAAGCTCCTTTCTGCACAAGTCCTGCAGGATCCTTTTAGCGGACAAGACCACAGGTGCCAGAATCCCTAGGGGGTCATAGATGGAACTGACTGTGGAGAGGATCCCTCTTCTGGTGAAGGGTCTGTCTTTTATTGTAATCTTGAACTTGAAAACATCTGACTGAACACACCAATGTACACCCAATGCCCTTTCCACTGGAAGTGTGTCATTGTCCAAGTCCAGATCCTTGACGTCTTTTTCTCTATCCTCTAGAGGTATAGCAGCAAGCACCCCACGTCTGTTGCTAATCCATTTGGTGAGTTGAAAGCCCCCTTTAGCAAAAAGTGCACGTAGGTCTTGATATAGTGCCACTGCTTCCTCCTCAGAAGTTACAGATGCAAGGCAATCATCAACATAGAAATTATGCATGACCGTGTCAATTACTTTGGGGTGGAACTGCTCCTGGTTGTCCTCTGCACACTTTCTGAGTGCAAAGCTTGCACAGCTTGGAGACAATGTAGCCCCAAACAGATGTGCAACCATCCTGTGTTCAACCAGGTTTTGATCATGGTCCCCATCTGGCCACCAAAGAAACCGTAGCAGATCTGCATCCTCAACAGGTACCTGTATCTGATGAAACATGGCCTCAATGTCAGCCATGAGTACTACAGGCTCCTTTCTGAACCGGGTCATGACTCCTACCAATGTGCTAGTAAGGTCTGGTCCTTGCAGCACAGTCAAACACAACCCGAATCTTTTTCTTTGTTGGATGGTATACACCATGGTGTGGTATATATCACACCCCAGCTGGGCAACATGTCTGATGTGTCCTTGGGCAAGACACTTAACACCCTCTGCTTCAGTGTCGGTGTATGAATGGATTAGTGTTGTACTTACTCTCTGATGTATGTCGCTTTGGATAAAAGTGTCTGCTAAGTGAATTGTAACATTGTAATAATTGCATTATTGCAAGTTAGACTGTGCAGGAGCATACAATTTTAAAGTATGTTAAATTGTGGTTTTGAACATAAATCTTATTTTTTTTGTCAATAATGTTATAACGTCTATATTATTGGTGAGGTTTGAGAAGATACAAATTTATATTTGTGTGTGCTTGTCTGCATATCACTCTTTATGCCACCCCTGCATAGGTTAGTGCCCCAGGTGGGCCACCCCAGTCAAAAAAGTCTGGACACGCCCCTGCTCTGCGAGTGTGTGCAGTCGAACGACCAAAATATCAAACATGCCAGAAAATCATCAGACCAGTCAGGAGCAGCTGTTTGGACAGAGTTTGGACGTCGTGCTTCAGTGTACGTAAGACGCACATTCGGGCTGAAAAGCCAGAAATCAAAATCAGTTGTACGACTACAAAATGTGGTCTAAATTGACCTGAAATCGTAAAGTGTACACCAAGTTTAAGGGGAGATAATATACTTATTGACAAAGGTGGTGTCATTCTCTTGGATGTTGTACCTCATGCATAGACGAAAAGACAACCTGATAATATAAAAGCTCCAGCCACAACACTCCACCACAGAGACATACGAACACAAAAACTGTTTTTGAATCCACAAATACTTGAATGTAAAAGAATGCAAAGTAAGTCAAAACTGAACGACTACTCAGTCCTAAAAAATAACCTCATCAATACATCATCAAACATCCGCAACCTGGAGTCTTACAATCAGAAGACTGACAGTTTGTCACTTACTGAATTTCTTTAGTCTCCGTCTCCACACAACAAAGATGATCGCAGGAATGAACAGCAAAGCAGCACAGCCAATCACAGTGCTGATAACAACAGTGCTGGGGAACATGAAGAGATGATCTGAAATTGCAAAACAGAATTATTTTCATATTTACTATTCAGCTCAGTGATCACATAAATAATTAATGCCTTATATTTACCTGGAATAGTGAGGTGCTTCTCTCTGGTCTGGTTGATCTTGCTCTGTGTGACTCTACAGGTGAACTTCCTCCCATGTCTCTTCTCCACAGTCACTCTGCTGCTGACAGTGTAGAGACCATCAGGACCTCTGGCTGTCTCAGTGGGTTCAGCAGAGAGGAGGTTTCCCTCGCCGTCCAGCCAAAACATCTCTGGCTCTGGATACCAGTCTGCAGACTCACACTCTAACAACACTCCACTGTTGTTTTTGATCATCTGAACAACAGGTGAGGAGACAGAACCTGTAGAGGAGAGAAGTTTCAGAAGTTTGTAAAAGTTTTGTTCTTTACTTTAATAAAAAATAAACAAAAGACATGAAAGTGCACTTTACATTGAGGTCACAATATTCATCATTAACTAGCGGCATATTGGCACGCAAGTACAGAACTACCACATCATCGCATCTTATTTATTTCTTCTTGAGGTGGTTGAGTTTGGCTGAAATATGAACCCCCCCCCCCCCCCCGTCAATGTAGGCCTACAGCTGCTTGCTGTTTATCTAGGGCTGAACTCCTATAAATAACGGCATATCAAGTGGAAGTTTTCAAAACGCGAGGCATACTCCTGGTGTTTATGTCTGTGCGCGTGCATGGATAAATTGAGTTGATTAAAGTTTGGGGTTTTTTGTTGCAAAAACTACATTAATTTAGAGGGGAAAACACATTGGATATAAATACAAACCTACTAGATATAAGACAGAACAAATCAGAGTACGACTAAAAAGAAAAATTTTGGTTTCTGCTGAACAGGTATTTGTATTTTATTATGGAGATTCATTTGCGTACCACCAGAGGGAGCCCACGTATCACTGTGAGAACCACTGAAGTAGAGCAACCTGTCAGACAAAGTGTGTCCCCATGATTGGATGTGGTTTAGTAGAGGAAAAAGTATGTCATCAGTTTCATGTTTTTATGTCCCATAACTCATAAATATGTCCTGCACTAGCTTTGATATGATCATTAAGACGAGGTCCTCAGCTTGAAGAAGTCTTGACTGGTCGAGTATGATATTTACAATCAATTATCACCTCTACTAAATACTTGACTAATGTTTAGAAGTTACCAAACTTGTCCACTTACCTACAACAAGCTGAACAGAAGAGGCTTTTGACAATGCAGACATGACACATTTGTATCCTCCCTCATCAGAGACTTTAACTTTGGAGAGTTTCAGTGAAATGTTTCCCTTCTCCAGCTCATCGATGAACACTGATGTTCTTCCCCTGAAGGACGGATGTTTTTTAGTCTTCAGTTCTTCGCCTTGACGCCACAAAAGGACAAATCTGGGGTTCAGGTCAGGTCTCGCCCACTCAAGAAACATGTCGAAAGCATTCATGAAGGGGTCCAGGTGACATGGCAGAACAACGTCTTCACCCACCAATGAAACTACTGGCTGAGATGGAACGATCACCTCAGACTGAGCTGAAAATAAACAAAAAAGCAGGGACTTGATTTTCATTCCTAACTAAAATGCCTAAGTAATAATTTTAAGACAGCCATGTAGTGGTATTTAGGGCCATACTGTATATTAATTTAAACATGTATAGACCTATTTTACATGTTTACTTTAGCCTGAATGTTTGTTATGTTTGCATGTACCTCTACATGAGGTAACAGACTGAACAGACTGGACAGGAGGGCCAGTTCTGTCTTGGACTGTCCTCTGGACTCTGTAGAGGAGGTGGGTGAGAGGAGGATGTTCGTGAAGCTGACATCCATCATGGACAACCCCTCTCACCCCCTGCATGACACTGTGGGGGCCCTGAGCAGCTCCTTCAGCAGCAGACTCAGACACCCACCCTGCAAGACAGAACGCTACCGCAGGTCGTTCATCCCATCTGCCGTCAGACTGTTTAATCGGACTGTTTAATCGGACTCTTTAACAACATCACCACCTCATGCTACACACTGTGTGTTTTTTTAAGAACAAGTTACTGTGTAATTTTACATTATTGTATTTTTTTTTATCTAAATGTTGTAAATATGTTTGATCTGTTTTTAACTTCTATTTTTATTTTTAATAAGTATATTCCCGTCCCCTGTTTTCTGGAGCTGCTGTAATGCACAAATTTCCCCCACGGGGATCAATAAAGTTTATCTTTATTTTTATCTTTATCTAACAGGGCGAGGAAGACAACAGCATGGACAGCGGGGTCAGTGGAGGCACCAAACTGACTGCTGAGGGGTTGTCTATTTGTCATGAAGCATCATGGAGTTCTGCAAGCAGAAATCAGATTAAATGAACATAAATGAGGATGATAATACTGAAAAATACGTACAATATATCAATGTTCAGTTTGAGATGATGAAGATATTTTCCTGTAAACATGATTTTGAAAGGATGACATGTTTAATATAGAAAATAACCGTCTCAAGTCTCAAGTACTCCAACTCTAAAATATTGTTAAATGACCATTACATCAATCTAAAAAACCGTGAATACAATCCAAAATCCCAAAAAGAACATTTGGATTTGAAGTGAGTGACTAATGGGATACAGGTCCTTTGCACAATGTTATTAATCCACATTTCACGTTTGTGTTCAAGATTTTAAACATTTCACTTCTCGTGAACATATGTTGGCATTTTTGTGAAATTTCAAAAGTATTTTACTCTTAGTATAATGATTAACACATCCCTCTGTGTCCTTCAGTGAACAAACACTTAAGTTTCATTTTCATTTACAGCACAAAAAAGAGGGATAATGTGGATTTAACAGCTTTTTTAAAACGACAACTAACAGTTTTAAAATAGTTAAACGTTTCCTAAAATGCTAATTTAAGTAAAAACAACTCACTATCATTTAACCATCACTCAAACCTTAGTGAAACAGCAGGGATTTGATTTGCAGAAATGTCTCGATTCCCAACAGACATTCGCTTTAAAAACTGAAAACAAGCTGCTGGTAATAGTCGGAGGTTTCTGGATTAAACATAGATTTAAGAAATACAAATAGTATGATTATTTTAAACATAACCACATACCTTCTGTGATTACATGCAGGGAGGGCATTTGTTGCACAGAGAAAACCAAATCCTACATTGTTTTCACAAGACAAAAGTCAGTTTTCTTTTCCAGTATTAAGTCAAGACAAAAACACTAAATTCAAACTTACAGCAACAAATATGTATACCTGTTCGACGTCTGTGGAAATCCAAGAGGGCTCTGCACGTTCAAAGTGCAAAAAACCTGATAAACAGATCTCCATGGTCACCTGTAATAAAAAAGGTGTGTTAAAGTTTTATCAGCCTGATAAGCTTCAGTGACTGTTAAATGTGAGATGAGGCTTCTTAGCCTTTTTGTGTAACATCTGAGATTCAAATGTAGTGTCTTTTAAATCAAAATTCACTTACAGTAGAAAGGGAGGTCTCTTCTGTAACTAGAGTGGTCCCAAAAGTGGGGGTCAGGACCCCCCCGCAAGGGTAGGGTGGGGGGGGGTTCTTCAAAGAATAGTTGCAGGGGCGTGTCCAGACTTTCTACCTGGGGTGGCCCAACAGGGGGACTGACTTATGCAGGAATGGCCTGAAGTTCATGTGCACATTTATGATATGAAGTGCTTTTATTTACCCATTCTGTCTGCACTTAATTCTTCAAGGACTCAAACAAAGATGTACGTCCAGTGACAATTTAAAGTATTTTAAAATTAGCAAACAAACTTCTGCATACTGAAAACTATGAGCTGCATGCAGTCTGAATAATTGTTAAATAAGTCCCAGCTTTGATCAGGCAAATTGCCAATCATATTTAAGGATTTTGGGGAAGAATTCAAGGGAGGGCCCATGCCAACCCTGGCAAACCCCCCCTCTTGAGACGCCCCTCAAAATTGGATGCCAATGGCTGCCTTCTAAGGCCTGGCGCACACTAAAAGATTTTTAAAATCTTAAACTATTTTGAAAATGTGAGAGAACCCACACATGACGACAATCATTACAGACTAACATGGTGGTCAAGTTAAATGTGGCTAGCTGTAAGCGGGTACATCCATTACGGTTAACATTTTGTCTGATTGTGGTTTTGTTTTACAGACACGTATAAACACTCATGTTGTTGCCACAAATCAACAAGTTGGTCCTACATTAATGATGTCCATCTAACTGTAGACTTCACGTTTGCTGTCGTCGCCATGGTTATGTTTGTTGTGCTTCCTGATTCAGTCAGCTTGCTTCCTGATTGCCCGTTGTTCTGTTACACTTGACAATCCACAGAGTCTGTGCTCGGCTGTCCTCTGTGTTTTCTCCTCACAACAAGACTACTGATCATATATAACATGATTTTAAATTGGGGCGGCCCCGATCGTCTTCCGTGAAGATCGGGGAGGTTAAAATCACTCATAACACACCTTACACCACAGGAGAATCTGGCAAGATGATCTTTGAAAACATCAGATAATCAGGCCTTTGAGGTCCAAAATCGGCATGATTATCTTTTAGTGTGTACCCGGCTTCAGAGTCACCTCAGCAGATCAGTGCTAGTTTATTCGCTGATTCAAACATTTCAGGTGGTTTGTTTTGTTGTTGTCAACTGGAGAACTGTTGAAACAAATGTCAGAATAAATATGTGTCTGGCTGAGATGTTCATTTTCTACAATACGCACCAAGAAGTTTTGTCATGTCCTTCTTATCCAAAATAATTAAATCAAGGCTGAAAACAAAGGAGACCAGAACAGATATTAGGTTTTAAACCCAAGCTTTATTTGGCTGTTAATAACCCCCCAAGACATAATCAAAGATAAATAATAAAACTAACAAAACAAAAGGGGCTGGAGACCCCGGCAAAAAAATAACAAAATATGAGAAAGTGCAGAGCCAGCTACGTGATGGGCCGTCGCTCTCAGCACCACCTCCTAAAAACAAAGGAAAACAGAACTAAACTAAAGGAATCGAAGGTTCGACTAAAAAAAAATAAAAAACAGCAATCTGGACATGCCTGGGTAGGGGAAAAGATACCTCTCTGTCTATTGCCCAGAGGGAGTGTGTGTCTGTTAGAGAGCCCTCTGCACTCTGCCACTCCTCCTCATACTTGAGTGAAAACTGCTATCAGATGTGCAGCAGGCAGAGGGAGGAGGGAGACCAGAGAGAGAGAGACCAGTCCACACCTAACAAGTTCTGCTCTAGTGTTGTCTAGTGCTAATATTTACCACTCACTCAGGTATTTGTTACTGGGCTCATCATACCTGGCTCTTTCAGTGTTTGTCGTTCATTAATTAATGAATGACTGCTGAGTCTCCTTTCTTTGTCTCTGACTGAAGCATATCTCCAACGTCTCTCGATCTGACTTCAGTTTCATACCTTCTCTTTCTGCTTTTACTGTCCTCCTCTTCTAACCTTTTTCTCTTTCTTTGGTCTATCTCAGTTGTTGTCTCCTCCATCTTCTGATCAGTGTTTATGTTTTGGGTCTGCACCTCTTTCTGTCCTCTACCAAAAGCCTCCTTACTCTGTCCCTCTGCAGCTGATTCATAATGAAATGTTGTATTTAATGGTTCAACACGTATGCTATTTGGTTGAGGTAGATCAGTCTCCATGTCCTCCTCCTGCTGCTGTTGTTCCTTTATTAAATTCATATTTTGCTCTTCATGACTCTGTGTTAGCATTTCAGAATTAGCCTCTATCTGCATTCTGTCTTCTTCTGAATTCCTCCTTATTTCGTCTCTTTGTTGCTGATCCATATGGAGACCTTCCTCTTGTGTATTTAGTGGTTCAATACTTTGTATGACATTTGGTTGAGTTTGATCAGTCTCCATGTCCTCCTCCTGCTGCTGTTGTTCCTTTATTAAATTCATATTTTGCTCTTCATGACCCTGTGTTAGCATTTCAGAATTAGCCTCTATCTGCATTCTGTCTTCTTCTGAATTCCTCCTTATTTCGTCTCTTTGTTGCTGATCCATATGGAGACCTTCCTCTTGTGTATTTAGTGGTTCAATACTTTGTATGACATTTGGTTGAGTTTGATCAGTCTCCATGTCCTCCTCCTGCTGCTGTTGTTCCTTTATTAAATTCATATTTTGCTCTTCATGACCCTGTGTTAGCATTTCAGAATTAGCCTCTATCTGCATTCTGTCTTCTTCTGAATTCCTCCTTATTTCGTCTCTTTGTTGCTGATCCATATGGAGACCTTCCTCTTGTGTATTTAGTGGTTCAATACTTTGTATGACATTTGGTTGAGGTAGATCAGTCTCCATGTCCTCCTCCTGCTGCAGGTCCTCCTGACCCTCCACTCCTCTCTCTCTCATTTCTTTATTCATGTCTGAATGTTGCAGCATCAGCTGCTGTTCTCCTCCTTTGGATTCTGATGTTATCTTCTTGTGCTTCTTTTGGGTTTCATATGTGTCAGCTTCTTTATCAGTTACAGACTCATGTTCCTCTCTGTCTGTCCCCTCTACTTTGATCTCCTCTGTGATTCCTTTAGCTTCCTTTGTCTCTTTCTCGTTTTCATCTCTCACTGCCTCTTGCTGTGTCTCTTCCCTCTCCATCTTCTGATCAGTGTTGATGTGTTTTATTTGTACCATTGAATGTCCTGAATCGTCTCTAACTGGTTTCACTGTCTCCTGTTCACTCTTATCTCCGTCATTTGTTTCTCGTCTTTGTCCCTCATCTTCAGTCTCACTCTTTTCTCCTGTTTTGTCAGGATTGTTCTCGTCTTTAACTGAAATGAGTGGAAGGTTTTCTTCTTTTTCATTCACAACCTGAAATCCTGTTTTATCACTTTTAGATGTGACTAGCTTTTCTTTCTCAGAGTGTTCACTTCCATCCTCACATCTCCTCTTCTTGTTTTCTGTGAAGACACAAAAGATGGAGAAACTGGTGAAGTTTTTGAATAAAAGCTGACCTCATCATAAATGGATGTATGCAAATGAAACTAAAAGTAAATGCTAATCACTTCTTGAACTCTAGTCTCATCAATACATCATCAAACGTCTGCATGACTTCATAAAACCTTTAAGAGTCTTACAATCAGAAGACTGACAGTTTGTCACTTACTGAATTTCTTTTGTCTCCGTCTCCACACAACAAAGATGATCACAGGAATGAACAGCAAAGCAGCACAGCCAATCACAGCGCCGATAACAACATGCTGAGTGCCAGGAGGACTGGGAGGACTGGGAGTAGCGACCACAAAGAAATGATCTGAAATAGAAGAAAATATTGTTTGTATTTACTGTTTATCTTGATAATTACATCATTAAATAATTAATGCCTTATATTTACCTGGAATAGTGAGGTGCTTCTCTCTGGTCTGGTTGATCTTCCTCTGTGTGACTCTACAGGTGAACTTCCTCCCATGTCTCTTCTCCACAGTCACTCTGCTGCTGACAGTGTAGAGACCATCAGGACCTCTGACTGTCTCAGTGGGTTCAGCAGAGAGGAGGTTTCCCTCGCCGTCCAGCCAAAACATCTCTGGCTCTGGATACCAGTCTGCAGACTCACACTCTAACAACACTCCAGTGTTGTTTTTGGTCATCTGAACAACAGGTGAGGAGACAGAACCTGTAGAGGAGAGGTTTCTTACATCGGAAATGTGGAGTTGAAGTCTGATACGTCATCAGGAACGCCCCTCTGAAGTCAGAATTCTGACCTGGAAACTCGGAGAACCTTCAGTAGCTCGAGTTAAATCCAACATGGCTGCTACGTGCATCAACAGTAACATTTAAGCTGTTTAAGCTTTGTTGGAGCCAAATGATGTGTTTGTTTTGTGTGATGCTATTTTCCTTGTGGTTGTGTGTGTTGGCCCTCTACTGGGCACTATGTGTAGCCTGGGCGGATGCTGTGGTTAAAGCAACGCTCCAGGTGAGGTGGGACAGGTGACTGAATGGAGGCAAACAGTTTTTCTACCGTGTCAGTCTGTCGGAGTTAAACGCATCCAACGCAGATTTGTTTGTTTTATGTATAGACAGTGGTTTGTCATATTTTCCTTTATTGATAAAAAGTGTTTAAAAATAAATGGATTGAAAAATCCAAATCACAACATCAATGGACTGTGTTGATTTCTTCGAGCTAAGCACGCGTCCGAAAGCTTCCACATTCATCCCTCAAGTAACTTTTCCAAACAATATTGGGTTTGTTAAAATTGGTCACTACAAGCTTTTTGAGTAATTTAGTCAATCACACTGATAGTATTGTGAACATGTTGTCATGTTGTTTCTGTGTGCAAACTATCACATCGTGTGTCGTTATCGTCTGGACAGATAAACACTTTGAAAGCACCAATGAAAGATTTGAATGCACATATCCTTTCTAACATATTCCTCTCTCATCAGCAACAAATCCACGACCGCTGCATGAACATTTATTAAATAATCATAAAAGCATTTCCTCTTACCTACAACAAGCTGAACAGTGGACATTTTTGACAATGCAGGCATGAAGCATTTGTATCCTCCCTCATCAGAGACTTTAACTTTGGAGAGTTTCAGTGAGATGTTTCCCTTCTCCAGCTCATCGATGAACACTGATGTTCTTCCACTGAAGGACGGATGTTTTATAGTCTCCAGTTCTTCGCCTTGACGCCACAAGTGGACAAATCTGGGGTTCAGGTCAGGTCTCGCCCACTCCACAGTGATGTCAAAAGCATTCATGACGGGGTCCAGGTGACATGGCAGAATAACGTCTTCACCCACCAATGAAACTACTGGCTGAGATGGAACGATCACCTCAGACTGAGCTGCAAACAAACAGGGATTCATTTTTTATTCCTACAGCTCAGCAAATGTGAGCCATATGGTGTCATTAGAATCACATACTTAAACTTCAGTAATTTAACTAACTCTTCATGTCAACATGAACCACACTGTTTGTAATGTTTGCAACTTACCTCTACATGAGTTCATCAGGGCGAGGAAGACAACAGTGTAGAACACCAGGTCAGTGAAGGCACCATGCTGATAGTGAAGGGACCGTCTGTTGGAAACGTGAATCATCCTGGAGCTCTGAAAAGTAAAATACAGCATGATAAAACATTAAAAAAGACGATACTGAGGAGCACTTAAAAAGCCTCTTGCAGGTCGGAGACCACAGTTAATCAAACTGTAGGTAAATAAATGAACGTCAGTATGAGGTGATGGTGACCTCAAAGCCCTCAAGTTAATTTATTAGAATGGTTTATAAACATGATTTTGAAGGGTTGACTTGTTTGGGTTGTCAGATCAGAAATCTGTTTCTGGGTCTCTGAGACTCCACATGTGTTTTAATAATCTTTCTGAAAATCTGTGATGTGATACGACCTCGTGTGCAAAACTTACCTCTGTGAATTTCTAAATTTTCTTTTAGAAATTTTCAAATCATAAACAAGAACATTTGAATTAGTCTTGTTGCACTTGTAAAAAGTTTGTTCAAACCAGCTTGAGGAAAAAATTCCACTTGCACTAACCCGAATCAATAACCCTTAATTAGCTACTAGTGAGTATTTTTAACTGCTCAGTTTGTAAGAAGTTGTTTATAATTCATATTAGTGGAACAAATAAACTGGACACTGAGCGTACATTCAGTTAAATATCATCAACGGACACATTTCTGCTTTAAAAATCATATTTTATCAAAGTTTATCTGCGGAACAGCTCAGAGAAGCAAAAAAGCCGCGGTAAGCATCCACTGCACTCACTGAAGGTCTTTGTGCTATTTCTTCTTTTTATTTACTAACAAGAACACATGCAGTGACCATTGCTTCATATATTAAAGGGGACTTATTGTGAAAAATCTACTTTGACAGTATTTGTGGACATTTATTTGAATAACCTGAGCAGTGTTTCCCCTACCATTATATTAGGGGGGCGGCCCCCCTCTGAAGGTTTTTTTTTTTAAAGATTCATTTTTGGGCTTTTTGTGTCTTTATTGTAGTGATAGGATAGTGGATAGAGTCGGAAATCAGAGAAAGAAGTCATTTAAGGAAACCTTTTCGATAGAAAAGGACAGCTGTCATTGAAAGTAACGCATGAACACCAAGATTCCTTCAAGTGTTTGTGTCGTCGTGTCGTCGTGTCCCCACCCCCCCAACGCTGTAAACCTAGGGGAAACACTGCTGAGTGTCCACAAAATGTGAAATAAACCCATCCAGTCCTTTGTTTGTGGTCTACATAAGTCTTACAACACAGAGAAAAATGCTGTTTCAAATATGCTCTCCTTGTGATGTCACAGTGGGATTCTGGTAAAAAAGAAATCCCCTCCCCTCCCCTGGTATCTCCACCCATGCAACCAGAGCTGCTGTATTATAAGGCTCTGTGTTCAACATGGCTAAATTGCCCAAAAAAAATTTGTTAAGACAGCAAAAGGGAGCAGAATCACATCAGCTTCAGAGTAAGAGAGAGAGAGAGAGCGAGAGAGAGAGGGAGAGAGAGAGAGAGGGAGGGGGAGCGATAAGTTCCGCTGTCCGTACATGCATCAAAACTGAAGTTTCTCCTGGCTCCGTTTTAAAAAAGTCCTCTTTAAACACAAACTAGATGCCATGCATCCAGGTTTCTAGCTGTGGCTAATTTGAAACCCCTGTCCCTGGCTAAACTTTGAGATAAATCCTCAGGAGGTGTGAGCATGAATGTCTGTATGACCCTCTCTGTATAATTATTAACAAGTCCTCCTGTGTCCTTCACTCTGCACGTTTTAAACAAACAGTTTAGTTTCACTTTCATTTGCAAAGAAAAATCAGCGATAAAGTTAATTTAACAATATTTAAACATAAACAGACAGTTTGTCATTAGGTAGACTTAAATGTTTTATATAAAGACCGTTTTAAATAAAGAAGGCTCAGCAGGAAGTTCACCACCTCTCTGTCGTCACACTGTTAAAGTTTGTCCCGGTTACCGACGGAGTAAAAGACTAAAATCAAAACCAACTGCTGGTTATAATCGGACTCGGAGGTATTTGGTTTGAATATATAGACTCATTAAATATAAACAATATGACTATAGACGACATGCATTTTAACTTAATCCCGTAAACACATCATGGGAGCATCTGTTGCACAAAGAAAACAGAAAGTCTAGTCTGCGTGTTTAATCTTTAAACAAAGATAAATTGTTTTTCAGCGTGTTATAAACCCAAAATGAACAAAATTAATTCAAACATGTTCATACCTGTTGGATCGTTGTGGAAGTCTACCGAGGACTCTGATGGGTCAAAGTCTGATAAAAAGAGATAAGCGGATCCTCAGATCACCTGTAATAAAAAGGTGTGTTCACGTTTCATCGGCTTTATGAGCTTCAGTGGACCGTTCATACCGTTCAATGAAGGATTAAAGGCTTCAGAACTTCAGTAAAGTTAGAAAGATATTCACAGATTCAGCTTTCGTTTTTTTTAAACATGTTTGTTTATATCTTCCATCAGGTGTTTTGCATCGTCTGAGCTATAACATTTGATTGAAGCTGCAAACTTAAAAAACGTCTCAAATTTTCATTAAATAAATCTGATTGGTTGACAAATAGAATTTGGTTCATGGTTTTTCAGGGAGGAGTTGGTGTTGGGTCCTGAGCCTAGACAAGTTGAGTACCACTGGTCTTGACCCCTCTCAGGGACCGTCTGCAAATTGCAACACTGGAAAAAAAGATGTTAAAAAAATATTAAATGTTTCATTCTGGAAAGGTGAATTAACTGTAAATAAAATCACTGTATACATATATGATCTCATGTTGTTTATACTACACTTCTTAATTCGAAAAATATGCTTTATCAAAACTAATTTTGAGTAATTTTTAATAGAAATAATTTTCAATAAATCCCATTTATAAGCTGTAGAGTGAAAAAGGTCATTAGGTCGGGGGTTATGTGATGCAGGCCTCGATGCCCTCTCCTCCTCTTTCCTGCTGCAGCTGAGAGTATGACTATGTTTAGGCACTCTGTCAGTGTTACAGCTGCAGAATGAGAGATGTTTGAGGGTTCATGTCCAGACAGAAAAAATAACTCAGTCCCTTCTGAATTTTTGCAAAATAAGTAAGAAGGGTAAGAAGTTAGACCCTGAAGCCTCTTCTCCAAAAGAAGTAGAGTATGTATGTTTGTCTTTGTAGGTGTTTTTGTTTAATTAGCACATCATAAATGAGTTGAATGCTTTTTTTCTCTCTATCCAGACAGGAAGCTGCAGATGATGAACAGGAGAAGAGAGAGAGAGAGAGAGAGAGAGAGAGAGAGAGAAAGGGATCAGCAGAGGACGAGATAGAAACCGTGCAGACACTACTGATTAAACTGAAATGTGTGAGATTGTTGGAAAACATTTTGTTATATAACAACAAACTAATGGTAAAATAGATGCATTTTACTTTTTTTATCATAATCTCATCTCATTTATCATAAAAACATTTTTAATAGTGTGAGAACAGGAAGTTCTTAAGTGTTTAAAACAGACATCCCCTAAATATCTTTGTTGTTTAACAATGTGGTCTCAAGTACTGTAGGTGTTATTACCTATTTTCGCCACAAGATGGAGTGTACTACTTTGTGAGTCCTTCTGTGTTTATTTCTGCATTTATTTGGATGTAAATAAGGAGACCACTCTGAATACAATGATATCAAAATAGAGGTATCAAAAAAAATCCCCATAAAGTCTTCAGACCAACCACATCGTACTAAGCTAGATTTAATAAAAAATAAACAAATAGTTTGATACAGTGACAGTTGATAAGAGGTAAACAGTGCAGAATTACATTAAAAACTGAATCTGAAAATGTGAATTAGAATAGAATAGAATAGAACTTTATTTGTCCACAAAGTGGAAAATTGTCTTTGGCGTCACAAGAATAAGACAGATGACAAACAACACAACATTCAAGCACAGCAGGAAACCAGGAGAGCGCCTGTAGTCCTCGACAACATCACAGTCAGCATGGTTCGTGAATTTAAAATAATAATTTAGTATAATAATAAGCCAGAGTTTTAATACATTTCATAAAGTTATAGGTTTAAAAACAGTAATTTCATAAAACAATGTGCAGTTAGAGTTGGGGGGGGGGTCATTTTCTCCTTTATGAATTTAATAATTTTATTGCATTTGGTACAAATGATTTTTTATAAACATTTTTTGTGGCTCTTGGCAGTCTGAATCGCCGACCTGATGGAAGCACTTCGAACTGGGAGTGCAGTGGATGAGAAGGGTCACTTGTTATGTCTTGGGCTTTCCTTTTAGTGTTCAGTACATGCCTGTCACAAAGTGGCATCTGTGGTTTCCCTATGATTTTACTAGCGGTATTGACCACTCTTGTCAGTTTGTTTTTACATTTAACATCTAAATGCCCGTACCATGCGACCATGTTAAAAGACAAAATACTTTCTACCAGATTCTTGTACACCATTTCAAGAACCTTTTTACTCACCCCAAACTCATTCAGCTTCCTAAGTAGGTGTAGCCTCTGCAGAGCTGTTGTAAAGACATAGTCTGTGTTATCTATGAATTTGAGGTGACTATCGATGTAAGTTCCTAAATATTTAAAGCAGTTTACCTTTTCAACAATTTCTCCCATGATTGTGAGGCAGGAGTCAGAAATATTGTTTTTACTGGATATAACCATTTCTTTAGTTTTACTAATGTTTATCTGTAAAGCACTCGATAGACACCAGTTCTGGAGCGAAGCTACATGATTAAAATACATATTCTCTCCTTTAGTGTCCCCTGCACGTAGGAGGCCAACAAGTGCCATATCATCAGCATATTTGAATAAGCTAAAATCTGAGTCTTGGAGTCTAAACTCATTTGTATACACAGAGAACAATAGAGGCGACAAGATGGTGCCTTGAGGTGCTCCTGCATTTAAAACGGTCAGTTCTGACACATTACCATTTAAGCACACTCTTTGTGGACGCTCAGACAGAAAATCTTTGATCCACAAAATTAGACCCCCATTCACATCTAAATCCAAGAGCCTTTTTAAAAGGATATGTGTTAAAAGCAGAGCTGAAGTCGATAGATAACACTCTAGCATAGTTTGTTGTCTGTTGCAAGTGTTTGGTCACTTTGTCAATTAAGGTTACTGTTGCATCATCAGTTCCTCTTGACCTTTTATATGCAAATTGGAGGGGATCAAGATGGCAGGTCACAGCTGATGTTAGGTGCTTGGATACAACCCTTTCCATACTTTTGCATAAAACAGAAGTAAGTGCTATTGGTCTAAAATCATTTAAAAGGTTTGCCCTTGGTTTCTTAGGTACAGGCACTATGTTGGACATCTTCCAGGAGCTGTGCACTTGTCCAGCAGAAGCTGAAACAATTTGGTGATGACACCTGTCAGCTGAGGTGTACAATCTTTAAGTACTCGTCCAGTCAGGCCATCAGGTCCAGGGGCCTTATTTGGCTTTGTGTTTGCAAGGCTAACTGCTATTTCATGCTCTGTTAGAACTATTGGGGCATATGTTGGAATTTTGCTGCAAACCATCTCACATTCTGTATTAAAATCTCCTACATCATATCTGCTATAAAAACATTTAAATCATTCACAAAGGAAGGATTGTTTGTTTGAGTGTTCTTCGGTTTCTTACACTCTCTGCCCATCATAGAGTTAAGGCCTTCCCATGCCTGTTTAGCATTACCCAGACAAAACTGGCTCTCTACCCTGTCTTTATATTCCAATTTTGCTTTCTTTATCTTGGATCTGAGTTCCCTCCTTTTTTCTTTGACTGCATCAGTATCACCGTTAATAAAAGCATGTTTTTTCTCATTAAGACAAATTTTAATATCTTTAGATAACCATGGTCTATTGTTTGGGAATATTCTAACCGTTTTTTTCTGGACACAATTGTTTTCGCAAAATATTATATATGAAGTTATGGTTTCAGTCAATTCATGTACATTTCCACTACAGTCAAAAAACAGTTGCCAATCTGTGTCATCAAAACAGTCTCTCAGCTCCTCTTTGCTCTGCTCAGTCCACAGTTTAATGTCCTTACTCATGGGTTTCTCTTGCTTCACCATAGCTCGATATTTGGGAAGCAGGTGCACCACATTGTGGTCTGACTTACCCAGCGGTGGTCGGCTTACAGCCTTGTAAGCATCAGACACGTTTCCGTAGCACTTATCCAACACACGGGTAGATCTAGTAGGACAATCCACATACTGTTGCAGGTTAGGTAGGTGACTGGAAAGGTCACAAGTGTTGACATTGCCGAGGACAAACACGGGCTGGTCTGAGGAGCGGGTAAGTGCGGTGTTGTAGCTCTCTGTTATTCTTGCCGCTGCCTTCTCATTGTCCGGTCCGGGCACATATGTTAAAATGACAGATTCAGATTTCGTTTTTTTTCAGAAATGTTTGTTTATATCTTCCATCAGGTGTTTTGTATCGTCTGAGCTATAACATTTGATTGAAGCTGCAAACTTAAAAAAAGTCTCAAATTTTCATTAAATAAATCTGATTGGTTGACAAATAGAATTTGGTTCATGGTTATTCAGGGAGGAGTTGGTGTTGGGTCCTGAGGCTAGACAAGTTGAGGACCACTGGTCTTGACCCCTCTCAGGGACCGTCTGCAAATTGCAACACTGGAAAAAAAGATGTTAAAAAAATATTAAATGTTTCATCCTGGAAAGGTGAATTAACTGTAAATAAAATCACTGTATACATATATGATCTCATGTTGTTTATACTACACTTCTTAATTTGGAAGAATATGCTTTATCAAAACTCATTTTGAGTAATTTTTAATAGAAATAATTTTCAATAAATCCCATTTATAAGCTGCAGAGTGAAAAAGGTCATTAGGTCGGGGGTCATGTGATGCAGGCCTCGATGCCCTCTCCTCCTCTTTCCTGCTGCAGCTGAGAGTATGACTATGTTTAGGCACTCTGTCAGTGTTACAGCTGCAGAATGAGAGATGTTTGAGGGTTCATATCCAGACAGAAAAAATGACTTTTGCTTAAATAGTGCCCAATTATTGAGAGATCACGTTGACATGCTTTTATTCTCTCTATCCAGACAGAAAGCTGCAGATGATGAACAGGAGAAGAGAGAGAGAGAGAGAGAGAGAGGGAGAGAGAGAGAGAGAGAGAGAGAGATCAGCAGAGGACGAGATAGAAACCGTGCAGACACTACTGATTAAACTAAAATGTGTGAGATTGTTGGAAAACATTTTGTTATATAACAACAAACTAATAGATACATTATACTTTTTTTTTATAATAATCTAATCATAACATTTGAATAATAGTTTGAGAACAGGAAGTTCTTAAGTGTTTAAAACAGACATCCCCTAAATATTTTTGTTGTTTACCAATGTGGTCTCAAGTACTGTAGGTGTTATTACCTATTTTCGCCACAAGATGGATTGTACTACTTTGTGAGTCCTTCTGTGTTTATTTCTGCATTCATTTGGATGTAAATAACTAGACCACTCTGAATACAATGATATCAAAATAGAGGTATCAAAAAATTCTTAACCAAAAAGCCCCACAAAGTCTTCAGACCAACCACATCGTAGTGAGCTAGATTTAATAAACAATAAACAAATAGTTTGACACAGTGACAGTTGATAAGAGGTAAACAGTGCAGAATTACATTGCAAAAAACTGAATCTGAAAATGTGAATTATGAGCGTCCATGTAATACAACACACTAATGGTAACCAAAATGCACAGAAATGACATCATCAGACAATAAATGATGAATGAAAGAAGTTGTAAAGTGAGTTTGAGGTCCACATTTCATGCTCGCTGTTACGTGTAACCTCAGCTCACTCAGTCACTGAATTTTAAAAATGTCTGCCATGTTGGTGGATGAACAGGTTGGCATTTTGATAAAACTTAGATGAAAAACCTCTAATAATAATTCCACATCTCACTGTTTTCTTTGTGATTGATTTGAAAATTTGAAAAAAAATCTTTTTCTAATGATTTGTTGAAAAAGATAAATAAGCTGCTCAGCGCTCCATCATTCAGTTCCTCTTCTCTGCTGAGTCGTCTAATGTCGACTGTTTTCTGTTTCAGCTCATCTCCCTTCTCTTCTTTACTCATAGCTCTCATAATCTCTACCTCTCTCCTGGTCCTCATTGCTCTCTTGTGTTTGTTGTGGTTTGATCCTCCATGTGACATGTTGAGGTTCATCACTCTATAACTCCTCCTCTTCCTGCAGCTCCTCTTGACACTCAGCTCCTCTCTCTCTCTGATCTCTTCATTATTGGCTGAATGATGCAGCATCGCCTTCCCCTCCTCTTTTGAATCCTGTTTGTATGTTTAATTTCTTCTTTCAAGTTTTATTGTCAGCTCCTTCATCAGATTTGACATGCCAAGCCCTCCTTCTCTACCCTCTACTTTTACCTCCTCTGTGACTCCTCCACCTGGTTTCGTAGTTATTTTTCTGCGTTCAGCTGCTTGTGTAGCTCTTTCTTCTATAGCCCTTAGATGTTTGCTTTATGTTTCCATGACCCATGATTCCTGTCCGCTCCTTTGTAAGTGTCCCCTGCCTTCTCTGCTGTTGTTTTAGTGACAACTTCTTCTTTTTCTCCTTCATTCACAACCTTAAATCCTGTTTTAGATGTGACTAGATGTGTCGTTGCCATGGTTATGTTTGTTGTGCTTCCTGATTCAGTCAGCTTGCTTCCTGATTGCCTGTTGTTCTGTTACACTTGACAATCCACAGAGTCTGTGCTCGGCTGTCCTCTGTGTTTTCTCCTCACAACAAGACTACTGATCATATATAACATGATTTTAAATTGGGGCGGCCCCGATCGTCTTCCGTGAAGATCGGGGAGGTTAAAATCACTCATAACACACCTTACACCACAGGAGAATCTGGCAAGATGATCTTTGAAACCATCAGATAATCAGGCCTTTGAGGTCCAAAATCGGCCTGATTATCTTTTAGTGTGTACCCGGCTTCAGAGTCACCTCAGCAGATCAGTGCTAGTTTATTCGCTGATTCGAACATTTCAGGTGGTTTGTTTTGTTGTTGTCAACTGGAGAACTGTTGAAACAAATGTCACAATGAATATGTGTCTGGCTGAGATGTTCATTTTCTACAATACGCACCAAGAAGTTTTGTCATGTCCTTGTGACACACAGAAATGTGTGTTCACATTATGTGATTTATTTTTGTGTATTGTGTATATTTCAATATGTAAATGTGTAATTGGGAGCATTAGTTCTGTTATTTTGTGTAAAATGTAATTTACGGTGTGGTTCCAATTTGTGCCACAAGGAGGTGTAACCTCCAGGTGAGACAGTTTAGTGTGCTCGGCAGACACACTACATTGCTTTGTCTCATTATTTCCCTGTTATTAACAGGACAAATCTAATCTGGCAACAGTCCTCCATACGGGGCCTGTTACATCCTTCTTACCCAAAATAATTAAATCAAGGCTGAAAACAAAGGAGACCAGAACAGATATTAGGTTTTAAACCCAAGCTTTATTTGGCTGTTAATAATCCCCCAAGACATAATCAAAGATAAATAATAAAACTAACAAAACAAAAGGGGCTGGAGACCCCGGCAATAAAACAACAAAATATGGGAAAGTGCAGAGCCAGCTACGTGATGGGCCGTCGCTCTCAGCACCACCTCCTAAAAACAAAGGAAAACAGAACTGAACTAAAGGAATCGAAGGTTCGACTAAAATAAAAACAAAAACAGCAATCTGGACATGGAGGGGAAAAGATACCTCTCTGTCTATTGCCCAGAGGGAGTGTGTGTCTGTTAGAGAGCCCTCTGCACTCTGCCACTCCTCCTCATACTTGAGTGAAAACTGCTATCAGATGTGCAGCAGGCAGAGGGAGGAGGGAGACCAGAGAGAGAGAGACCAGTCCACACCTAACAAGTTCTGCTCTAGTGTTGTCTAGTGCTAATATTTACCACTCACTCAGGTATTTGTTATTGGGCTCATCATACTTGGCTCTGTCAGTGTTTGTCGTTCATTGATTAATGAATGACTGCTGAGTCTCCTTTCTTTGTCTCTGACTGAAGCATATCTCCAACGTCTCTCGATCTGACTTCAGTTTCATACCTTTCTCCTTTTACTGTCCTCTTGCTCCAGAGCCTCCTTTTCTCTTAAGCTTTTTCTCTTTCTTTGGTTTATCTCAGTTGTTGTCTCCTCCATCTTCTGATCAGTGTTTATGTTTTGGGTCTGCACCTCTTTCTGTCCTCTACCAAAAGCCTCCTTACTCTGTCCCTCTGCAGCTGATTCATAATGAAATGTTGTATTGAATGGTTCAACACGTATGCTATTTGGTTGAGTTTGATAAGTCTCCATGTCCTCCTCCTGCTGCCAATGTTCTTTTGTTAGTTTCATATTTTGCTCTTCATGACTCTGTTAGCATTTCAGAACTAGCCTCTATCTGCATACTGCCTTCTTCTGAATTCCTCCTTATTTTGTCTCTTTGTTGCTGATCCATATGGAGACCTTCCTCTTGTGTATTTAGTGGTTCAATACTTTGTATGACATTTGGTTGAGGTTGATCAGTCTCCATGTCCTCCTCCTGCTGCAGGTCCTCCTGACCCTCCACTCCTCTCTCTCTCATTTCTTTATTCATGTCTGAATGTTGCAGCTGTTGTTCTCCTCCTTTAGATTCTGATGTTATCCTCTTGCGCTTCTTTTGGGTTTCATATGTGTCAGCTTCTCCGTCTGTCCCCTCTACTTTGATCTCCTTTGTGATTCCTTTAGCTTTACGCTGAGCTTTTCGTCTGCGTGCAGCTGCTTGTCTGGCTGCTTCTTCTCTTCTTTTTCTTCTTCTTCTTCTTCTTTGGTTTTCTTTCCCCTCAGCCTTCCTTTGGGTTTCATCAACAGAAGCTTTTCTGTCAGTCTCTAAACTCTCCTCCCCTCTTCCATTATCCTCCACCATTACCCCCACTTTAGATTCCTCTCTTTGCTCTCTGACTTTTACCTTTACATCCAGTTGTTGCTCTGCCTGCTTTTCTTCTTCTACTCCTCTAACTTGGTTTAGTATCTCCACAGACTTCCTTTGAGTTGTATCATTGTCCTCTTGTAGACCAGCTTCCTGCCTCTCTTCTTGTCTTTGTTTAATCTCAACCCCTACACCCTCTTTTGATTCTGCTGGCTGGTATTTGGTTTCGTTCTGATCTGGTTCAGATTTTTCTCCCTGGTGTTTCTCTGTCTGAACGTCTTTGTCTGCTAAAACCTCTTGGTTCTTTCTTCCTGTTTCATCTTGATGTTTTTCAGGGTCTGACCTCTCTGTACCTTCCATATTAGCTGACACCTTGTTCCCCCACTCATCCTTCTTTTCTTCTGTCTTTTTCACATCCTCACTGCTTTGCTTCTTTTGCTTCTCTGCTTCCTCTTCTGTTATTGTATTAATGTTCAACTGGTTCCCCTCTTTGTTTATTTCTGTTTTATCTTCAGGTTCTGCCTTCCTCCTCTCTTGTTTATCATCTTTGAAGAGACATTGGTCACCATTTACTTCTTGTTGTTTGAACTCAGTTTCATCTTTGTTTTCTCCTTTCTTTATCTCTGACTGAAGCATCTCTTTGCTCTCCACACTCTCTCTTTCTGCCTCCATTTGGATTCCTTTCCCTTCTTGCTTCTTCTGTCCTGTTGATCCAGAGATTCCTTTATTCGTTTGTTCATCCTTATTCTCTGTCTTTGGTCTCTCTTTCTCAGTTTTTGTCTCTTTCCTCTCTATCGTCTGATCAGTGTTGATGTGTTTTATTCTCTTCTCACTCTTTTCTCCATCCTCACGTCTCCTCTTCTTGTTTTCTGTGAAGACACAAAAGATGGAACAACTGGTGAAGTTTGTGAATAAAAGCTGACCTCATCATAAATGGATGTATGCAAATGAAACTAAAACTAAATGCTAATCACTTCTTGAACTCTAGTCTCATCAATACATCATCAAACGTCTGCATGACTTTATAAAACCTTTAGGAGTCTTACAATCAGAAGACTGACAGTTTGTCACTTACTGGATTTCTTTTGTCTCCATTTCCACACAACAAAGATGATCGCAGGAATGAACAGCAAAGCAGCACAGCCAATCACAGCACCGATAACAACAGGAGTACGAGGAGTAGGGACCACAAAGAAATGATCTGAAATAGAAGAAACATTTGTTTGTATTTACTGTTTATCTTGATAATTACATCATTAAATAATTAATGACTTATATTTACCTGGAATAGTGAGGTGCTTCTCTCTGGTCTGGTTGATCTTCCTCTGTGTGACTCTACAGGTGAACTTCCTCCCATGTCTCTTCTCCACAGTCACTCTGCTGCTGACAGTGTAGAGACCATCAGGACCTCTGACTGTCTCAGTGGGTTCAGCAGAGAGGAGGTTTCCCTCGCCGTCCAGCCAAAACATCTCTGGCTCTGGATACCAGTCTGCAGACTCACACTCTAACAACACTCCATTGTTGTTTTTGATCATCTGAACAACAGGTGAGGAGACAGAACCTATAGAGGAGAGAATTCTTACATCGGAAATGTGGAGTTGAAGTCTGATACGTCATCAGGAACGCCCCTCTGAAGTCAGAATTCCGACCTGGAAACTCGGAGAACCTTCAGTAGCTCGAGTTAAATCCAACATGGCTGCTACGTGCATCAACAGTAACATTTAAGCTGTTTAAGCTTTGTTGGAGCCAAATGATGTGTTTGTTTTGTGTGATGCTATTTTCCTTATGGTTGTGTGTGTTGGCCCTCTACTGGGCACTATGTGTAGCCTGGGCGGATGCTGTGGTTAAAGCAACGCTCCAGGTGAGGTGGGACAGGTGACTGAATGGAGGCAAACAGTTTTTCTACCGTGTCAGCAGATTTGTTTGTTTTATTTATAGACAGTGGTTCGTCATATTTTCCTTTATTGATAAGAAGTATTTAAAAATAAATGGACTGAAATATCCAAATCAAATCATTAATGGACTGTGTTAATTTCTTCGAGCTAAGCACGCGTCCGAAAGCTTCCACATTCATCCCTCAAGTAACTTTTCCAAACAATATTGGGTTTGTTAAAATTGGTCACTACAAGCTTTTTGAGTAATTTAGTCAATCACACTGATAGTATTGTGAACATGTTGTCATGTTGTTTCTGTGTGCAAACTATCACATCGTGTGTTGTTATCGTCTGGACAGATAAACACTTTGAAAGCACCAATGAAAGATTTGAATGCACATATCCTTTCTAACATATTCCTCTCTCATCAGCAACAAATCCACGACCGCTGCATGAACATTTATTAAATAATCATAAAAACATGTCCTCTTACCTACAACAAGCTGAACAGTGGAGGTTTTTGACAATGTAGGCAGGAAGCATTTGTATCCTCCCTCATCAGAGACTTTAACTTTGGAGAGTTTCAGTGAGATGTTTCCCTTCTCCAGCTCATCGATGAACACTGATGTTCTTCCACTGAAGGACGGATGTTTTATAGTCTCCAGTTCTTGGCCGTGACGCCACACCAGGATAAATCTGGGGTTCGGGTCAGGTCTCACCCACTCCACAATCATGTCAAAAGCATTCATGACGGGGTCCAGGTGACATGGCAGAATAACGTCTTCACCCACCAATGAAACTACTGGCTGAGATGGAACGATCACCTCAGACTGAGCTGCAAACAAACAGGGATTCATTTTTTATTCCTACAGCTCAGCAAATGTGAGCCATATGGTGTCATTAGAATCACATACTTAAACTTCAGTAATTTAACTAACTCTTCATGTCAACATGAACCACACTGTTTGTAATGTTTGCAACTTACCTCTACATGAGTTCATCAGGGCGAGGAAGACAACAGTGTAGAACACCAGGTCAGTGAAGGCACCATGCTGATAGTGAAGGGACCGTCTGTTGGAAACGTGAATCATCCTGGAGCTCTGAAAAGTAAAATACAGCATGATAAAACATTAAAAAAGACGATACTGAGGAGCACTTAAAAAGCCTCTTGCAGGTCGGAGACCACAGTTAATCAAACTGTAGGTAAATAAATGAACGTCAGTATGGGGTGATGGTGACCTCAAAGCCCTCAAGTTAATTTATTAGAATGGTTTATAAACATGATTTTGAAGGGTTGACTTGTTTGGGTTGTCAGAACAGAAATCTGTTTCTGGGTCTCTGAGACTCCACATGTGTTTTAATCATCGTTCTCAAAGTCTGTGATGTGATACGACCTCGTGTGCAAAACTTACCTCTGTGAATTTCCACATTTTCTTATCAAATCATAAACAAGAACATTTTAATTAGTCTTGTTGCACTTGTAAAAAGTTTGTTCAAACCAGCTTGAGGAAAAAATTCCACTTGCACTAACCTGAATCAATAACCCTTAATTAGCTACTAGTGAGTATTTTTAACTGCTCAGCTTGTAAGAAGTTGTTTATAATTCATATTAGTGGAACAAATAAACTGGACACTGAGCGTACATTCAGTTAAATATCATCAACGGACACATTTCTGCTTTAATAATCATATTTTATCAAAGTTTAGCTGCAGAACAGCTCAGAGAAGCAAAAAAGCCGCGGTAAACATCCACTGCACTCACTGAAGGTCTTTGTGCTATTTCTTCTTTTTAGTTACTAACAAGAACACATGCAGTGACCATTGCTTCATATATGTAAGGGGACATATTGTGAAAAATCAACTTTGACAGTATTTGTGGACATTTATTTGGGTAACCTGAGCAGTGTTTCCCCTACCATTATATTAGGGGGGCGGCCCGCCCCCCTCTGAAGGTTTTTGGGGCTTTTTGTGCCTTTATTGTAGAGATAGGATAGTGGATAGAGTCGGAAATCAGGAAAAGAAGTCATTTAAGGATACCTTTCCGTGCAACCAGAACCGCTGTATTATAAGGCTCTGTGTTCAACATCGCTAAATTGCCAAAAAAAATCCCTCTTGAATCCTGCGGAGGGTTAAGACAGCACAAGAGAGCAGAATCACATCAGCTTCAGAGCAAGAGAGAGAGAGAGAGAGAGAAAGAGAGAGAGAGAGAGAGAGAGAGAGGGAGGGGGAGCGATAAGTTCCACTGTCCGTACATGCATCAAAACTGAAGTTTCTCCTGGCTCCGTTTTAAAAATGTTAATGTACAGCAGCTTGCTGCCGATTCTGTGCTGAACTCCAATAAATAACAGAATATCTGTTAATGTAGGCCTACAGCTGCTTGCTGATGTTTCAGTACTAAACAGTACTGAACTTTTCTAAACGTGAGGCGTACTCCTGTTGTTGTTTATGTTTGTGTACGTTCGAGCATAAATTGAGCAGATTAAAGTTGTTTGTTGCAAAAACTAGATTCATTTAGAGGGAAAAACACATTTGCTATAAATACAACTCAATAGATACAAGACAGATAAAATAAGAGTATGATCAAAATAAAATGTTGTTTTATGCTGAACGGGTGTTTTTTTATATTGTGGAGATTTCTTTGTGTACCACCACAGGGAGTCCTGTGTACTACCATAGTTTGAGAACCACTGATTTAAAGAGACACACACACCAAAACGGAGCGTTCTGAGAGAGCTGATTTATACAGGGTCACAAATCTCCTCTGGTGCTTGATTCATGTTATATTTTGACCAAAGAACAGCAAAGATGTTTCATTTAGACCACAGGGGAATGTTTGAAAAGGTGGAGAAGGGGGATGATATGTCCTCTTGAAACACAAACTAGATGCCATGCATCCAGGTTTCTAGCTGTGTCTAATTTGAAACCCCTGTCCCTGGCTAAGCTTTGAGATAAATCCTCAGGAGGTGTGAGCATGAATGTCTGTATGACCCTCTCTGTATAATTATTAACAAGTCCTCCTGTGTCCTTCACTCTGCACGTTTTAAACAAACATGCTTCTCACACACACATGACCGAAATACAAATACAAATATGCACAAACAGGACTTGTGGACATGCATTAATTTTGTTTTTTTTTACACCGGGGGTTCTTTTAACTAAGTGCAGCAGTACTTTAGAGTCTTTAGAGGTTGTCTAAATGGATTTAGTTATAAAACATGTGAATAATAAATTCACATGTAACTTTTTGTAAAAGTGATTGAAGAGAGGGATAATTGTAGATACAGCTCATGCACTTTGTCATTTACATATAGATTAGTATAACAATACTTTGATTTTGATTATTTTCAATTAGAAAAGTCCAAGTTATTCTTGTGAAACACAATAAAGATGAAACGCTTCATTTTATGTGTTGGTGTAGATGGCAAAGGCCGTGATGGAGGACTTTCCGGCATTGCCAGTTATGTCCTTTGGGACATCCAAGAAGGAGATGGCATTTGAGAGGACAAAGCTTGCACTATCTTTACTCAGTGGTTCAGGTAAGAAAGTAATTTCCCCTTTAAATGATATTAAAGGTTTGAGTTTTGTTGTATAACTGATAAACTTGTTTTCTCTCTAACACATCTAAACAAACTACAGCCTCTGAAAATGAGTTCACAAAATGCAGCTTTTCATAGTCCCCAGAATCATTGATTTCTTAATCTTAATGAATCATTGATTTCTGTATGCATGGAAGCTGATGGGAAGCTGAGTGACAGACAGATAGCTAGGAGCAGGGGGAGTCTGAGGCTATCTGCTGAGTGGATGATCAGAGTTCAATTGTGGCATCATCAGAAGTTTTTGAATTCAATTGTTTTACAAATAAAAAAATTTCAATTGTGTTTGTTAGATGACAATACAAATAAATAATATCAGAAATATGAAAAGAATATGCATTTCTGCTATTGTAGAAAAAAAGATTTGCAATAATTGGGAGAATAGAAATCAGGCTTGTTGTAGACTGTTTCTTGCAGTTATTTGTGATGAGTATATGCCAATACTAAGTCTTCAGATAGATACCGCTGCACAATGCACATTGAGTACTTTGGAGTTGATTTAGTCGGTCCAATGGATATTGACAACTGAATTACTCTGCAATTCATAAATAAAAAGAAAACCAACATTCAAGATGTTCCTTCATTTATCTCTAAATGTAAATAAAACATGTAAAATAACAAACATGCTCTCAAGACCGAAGCCTTAACACTGTTTCAATGTCCTCTCTCCTTTGAATCCATGGATTTAGTGTTGATTGTTTCAATAAAAACTTTGCCTGATTTAGCTTAAGTACACTCAATCTGCAGTTGAGCTCATTGTTTGCTTCATATTGACTTTTATTTGAGCTACTATCGTGAAAATTTCAGTTTTAAAAAGGGTTAAAAATGTAATGGCAGCCAGACAAATTTTAAGGAGCCATTTAAAGTTCTTGTATGTGTTTACATGTTAAAAAAAGTGTCAATCTGGTGTATAAACCAGCTTCACCAGTATTAACATTAGTATTATTGTCCAAGTAGCAAATGATCTTAATCCTGATCCAGTTAACAAGCTACATATCATTTTACAGAAACAAAGCTGCCAATAAACTTAAAAATGTACACATCATGTGACTGAATATGATTTTATTTTCTGCCAGTGTTTGACATGAACAACCACTGTGCTATGTGCTCGACCTCAAAGCCCCCAGGATCAGGGCCTCCAACTACTGACAGGGTGAGTGGTTGTTGCTGTGTGTTCTTTATAATTTATGGTTTATCCTATGATAAAACTGTAAATTAAAATGTGTGGTTTTAGATGCACAACCGCTCTGTGATATTTATTTATTTCCAATATGTACTAAAAGTGAACAGAGAGAAGACACAAAATAATGTGCAATTACATCTGATTTTGACAATTCTGACCATGTCGAATGTCAACAGATGAAATGAATACTCAAATGTATGTTGACTTCTTTTAAGAGTTAATTTTTATAGTGTTTAATAAGTTTATACAGTGACAATAAGAGGGTTATGAGAGGATTCTAGATTTAAGTTTAGTCAGTAAGAGGACAAAGGATTTCCAAACTGGTTATGGTTTTCCACCTTGAAACAGGGTTATTGACTCTTCAGAATCAGAATAAAAGCACAAGATCTCCTGCTGACGGCTTAAAAAGAATAAGATAAAAATATAAAAAGCAATAAAAAATATATAATAGAATATAAAACACAAAATGTGCAATGGAGGAGTTGTGCAGATATGTGCATGATTTGCAGTCTAAAACAGAGTGCAATGTAAACAGAAAATATAGAAGTCCAGTGAGCGTTAATGTAACGCATCAAATCAGTTTCAGCCTTCACATTACTGTCATGTATTGAGCTCAACTGTACTTTTGACACAAACCGGGAGCACTTCTATACAGAGATGTTCCTAAATCAAAATGTGGTCTTAAAGGCTGAATGTGCGACATTTTACACACACTGTAAATAAAGCAGAAATCCAGTATATCCTCTGTAAATAACGCTGTGAGTCATGACTGTCTACAATGAGTGCCTATAACTAGAAATGTTTCTCTATTGCACAAGATTCTCTATTCCTGACAAGTTGATAAAGGTTTGCACATTTTATTTTACAGATACAGTGTGACACATGTGAAAGATGGTACCATGAGCAGTGCCTAGCCATGGATGAAGAAAAACTCCAACATGCAAGAGTGAACGATTGGGATTGTAGATAGTAGTTGGTGTTCAGAGTCTTTGTAATTTCATATGTATGTTATTTGAAAATGTTAATGTTTATAAGAAATGTAAAAACAATGTCAAAAGTAATTTTGTATTTTTGACTGATTATTCATATTTGAAAAATGCTTGTTTGTGTGTTTATTGCAAAGTATTAAAAGTGCAACATGTAGCTGTGACAGAGCGAATCAAATTGGTACTGTCACATTGAAAACACTGCAGAGAGCTGTGTCATAGTACCTGTGCATGTAGTCAAAGAGGATTAAGTCCAACCATAGCATTTACCATAAAGATCAGAATACGTGAGCACTTCAAATTTAGTGGCGGCTCACTTCCCCATTTAAACTCGAGGAGCGGCTGGTTTAGTTGTGCAGTGTTTAGTTTCACTTTCATTTGCATAGTAAAATTAGCGATAAAATGAATTTAACAATATTTAAACATAAACGGACAGTTTGTCATTAGGTAGACTTAAATGTTTTATATAAAGACCGGAGTAAAAGACTAAAATCAAAACCAGCTGCTGGTTATAATCGGACTCGGAGGTATTTTATCTGAATATATTGACTCATACAAATAATATGAATATAGGCTACATGTATTTTAAACGTAATGTTGTCCCGTAAACACATCATGGGAGCATCTGTTGCACAAAGAAAACAGAAAGTCTAGTCTGCGTGTTTAATCTTTAAACAAAGAGAAATTGTTTTTCAGCGTGTTATAAACCCAAAATGAACAAAATTAATTCAAACATATTCAAACCTGTTGGATGGTTGTGGAAGTCTACCGAGGACTCTGATGGGTTAAAGTCTGATAAAAAGAAATAAGCGGATCCTCAGATCCAAGGGCGTAACTTTAAGTTGGACATTGTGGGGGGGTTGAGATTTCCGCCTGTGAAGCAGATCTGAGGACAGAGACAGGAGAAAATCTTTAACTATCTATATATACACAAACACACACACACATACACACAGAGAGAGAGAGAGAGAGAGACAGAGAGAGAGAGAGAGAGAGAGAGAGAGAGAGAGAGAGAGAGAGAGAGAGAGAAGAGAGAGAGAGAGAGAGAGAGAGAGACAGAGAGAGAGAGAGAGAAGAGAGAGAGAGAAGATAGAGAGAGAGAGAGAGAGAGAGAGAGAGAGAGAAGCAGAGGACGAGATAGAAACCTTGCAGACACTACTGATTAAACTGAAATGTGTGAGATTGTTGGAAAACATTTTGTTATATAACAACAAACTAATGGTAAAATAGATGCATTTTACTTTTTTATCATCATCTAATCACAACATTTTTTGGGGGGGGCTTTAATGTAGAGATAGGACAGTGGATAGAGTCGGAAATCAGGGAGAGAGAGTAGGGAATGACATGCGGGAAAGGAGACTGCGGTTAAGTCAGCCGCTCCTCGAGTTTACATGGGGAAGTGAGAAAGTGGATTTCACAAAAAGTGCAGTAATAGTATTTCATAGTATCTGTGCATGTAGTCTAACAAGTACTAAGTCTAACCATATCAGAATCATGGTGTACTTTTCTTTCTTCTTTCTTACAAGACATCAAAGTCAGAAAAAAAACTCATTATAGTGATTTATTATGGACTTTGACAGTGGATTTCTCAAAAAGTACACAGTAAAAGTACTTCATAGTACCTGTGCATGTAGTCTAGGAAGTAATAAGTCTAACCATATCAGAATAATTTTCAACTTATGGAAGAAAATATATTTTTATATTTTTTTCCCAGGAAAACACCTTATTTTGAAAAACGGAAGTTATCTCAGACTTGCAGTATTATTCTCAAACTAATTTCACCGACCTCCTAAACTATTCCCTGAACAGTATTTTGTTTGCTCCCGTTTCATACACGTGTACCTCATCGCCAGTTTTATGGTAAGACTTCGGCATTTATCACTTTTGCCTGGAAAAGGAGATTAATAACAGACTCGCTCTCTCTGTCTGTTACTCCTGCTCGCTCTGCAGTCCGGAGCATTTACCATAAAGATCAGAATACGTGGCACTTCAAATTTAGGGCGGCTCACTTCACCAGGTAAACTCGAGGAGCGGCTGGCTTACCGCAGTACTAAAAAGGTGTGTTCACGTTTCATCGGCTTTATGAGCTTCAGTGGACTGACCGTTCATACCGTTCAGTGAAGGATTAAAGGCTTCAGAACTTCAGTAAAGTTAGAAAGATATTCACAGATTCAGCTTTCACTCACAGTAATGTAGACTGCTGGTGTTATGTCGAGAAATGCACCCCTCGCGGAAGTGTCTGAAAACGGTCTCATATTTCTGCGGGCAGATCTGTGACGACAAAGTAGACTATGTGCAGTTTACACTTGATACACGAAAGTGTCCTTATTGTTCTGACCTGCAAACACTGTTTGACTCTAATGTGTTTGTAGAGGAAATTTAAAGATGGATGTAAAATCCATCAGTGTAGAAAAGTGTCCTGAAAGGTGCGCATGCAATTCTCTCCATAACACCTGTTGTGACCCTAACCCCCAAGACAGTCTAGACCAGTGATTCTCAACTGGAGGGTCGGGACCCAAAGGTGGGTCGGGAGCTGTTTTCAGTGGGTCATGTTCCTGGAAAAAACCTGTTCTCAACAGTCTGTCAAGCGCTTTTTTAAACATGTTTGTTTATATCTTCCATCAGGTGTTTTGCATCGTCTGAGCTATAACATTTGACAGAACCTGCAAACCTAAAAAACTGCACAAATTTTCATTAAATAATCTGATTGGTTGAAAAATAGAATTTGGTTTATGGTTTTTCAGGGAGGAGTTGGTGTTGGGTCCTGAAGCTAGACCAGTTGAGAACCACTGGTCTTGACCCCTCTCAGGGACCGTCTGCAAATTGCAACACCAAAACAAAAGATGTTAAAAAATATCAAATCATTCATCCTGGAAAGGTGAATTAACTGTAAATAAAATCACTGTATACATATATGATCTCATGTTGTTTATACTACACTTCTTAATTCAGAAAAATGCTTTATCAAAACTCATTTTGAGTAATTTTTAGAAATAATTTTCAATAAATCCATTTATAAGCTGTAGAGTGAAAAAGGTCATTAGGTCGGGGGTTATGTGATGCAGGCCTCGATGCCCTCTCCTCCTCTTCCTGCTGCAGCTGAGAGTATGACTATGTTTAGGCACTCTGTCAGTGTTACAGCTGCAGAATGAGAGATGTTTGAGGGTTCATGTCCAGACAGAAAAAAAACTCAGTCCCTTCTGAATTTTGCAAAATATGTACATAAGAGTATGTGTGTTTGTCTTTGTCATCGTAAATGATTTTGTTCAATTAGTGCACAATTATTGAGGGATCACGTTGACATGCTTTTATTCTCTCTATACAGACAGAAAGCTGCAGATGATGAACAGGAAAAGAGAGAGAGAGAGAGAGAGAGAGAGAGAGAAAGAGATTTTTGATTTTTAAACAGACCTTTATTTTTCAGTCTTCTTACTGTTCAACAATAATATACATTCCTAAAATTCACAGATGACATTCACAAAATAAACAGATGTTACATCAGCACATGTCCATGAACTAACTGATCGTGCTCTACAGAGCACAGCACACTGTCATGAGTCCACACTGACTGGAAAGTCTCCAGATCCTGATTTGCTCTGTAGAAGCTGAAGTCCAAAGACACCCTGGATTTTAACATTTGTACAAACAACAGCTTCACATCAACAACATCGTCTGGCTCCTCCACCTTCCTCCTCCTACTCACGTACACGGCCATCTTAGCCTGACCAAGAACAAAGTTTATCAGCTGGCATTTGTGTTTGTGTTGTCGAGTGTATTTAAAACCACAAATAAAAACCTGCTTAGTAAAAAACTCTTTAAAACCACTAAAAACCTTCTCCAGAAGGTCAAACAGAGGTTTCAGCCGACTGCACTGTAAAAAACAGTGAAACACCGTCTCCCTGTGCACACAGAAAGGACACTGATCAACAACATTCACATTAAGAACAGAGATAAAAGAGTTCACAGCAATGATTCCATGCAGGATTCTCCACTGGAGGTCTGCATGTCTCTTACACAAGGGGGGTTTGTACAAAGACTCCCAGGAGGGTCTAAACTCAGGAGCTAGCCCCAAATAAGTCCTCCAGGGGGTGTCACTGCGTGCGTTCAGTGTCTTTTTATTCAAAGTCTTAACAATCAGTTTGTAAAGAGTCTTTCCTCGTCTGCAGCGTTGGCCAGTAGAGGACCAGAACAGTCCTTCAGGTCTGCAGACAGAGTGAACTCAGGAAACGGGTCAGTTTGGTCAGGCAGCAGAGAACCGTCCCCATAGTCCGACATCAGAGACATCTCTTGTCCTGTCAGCTGATGTCTCCAGTGCTTCAGCAACCGATCAACGACTCTGGTCGACCTCACCCCCAGACGAGCAGCCAGACCAGCAGGACAGTCCAGCTGAGGTCCCGTCAGCTCCACCACCTGCTCCAGAGTGGAAATCCTGGCACTGCAGAACTTTCCGGACAGGCTCGGTCCAGCCCAGTCAGGAAGATGAAAACGACCTCCAAACAGTACCGGCTCTTTAAGCAGCCAGTACAAAGAGTGGGAGTGTCCCTGTCTCTGCCTGTTCACCAGACTCCACACGTTAAAAACACTTTGATAAAATCCAGTGACAGAGGAAATGTTCACTTGCTGTAAATCCATTAAAAACAGAGACGAGCTCAGCCCCAGTTCTCCAAACCGCTGTAGAAGACAGCAGGCCAGCGGTCTCCAGACCAGGTCTGCAGGCCCAGTGAGTAGTCTCTGGAGGAACTGCAGGCGGAGAGTAGCCCCCCTGCTGGCCAGGTGAACTAGTCCATGTCCTCCTTCCTCTTTAGGGAGGAAGAGCACACTCTGAGGAATCCAGTGTAACCTGTCCCAAAAGAAATCAACTAACACTCTTTGAATGTTACACAGGAGAGAGGACGGAGGGTCGATACAGGTCAGTCTGTGCCACAGGGCAGAGGAAACAAGATTATTGGCCACAAGTACACGACCTTTAAAAGACATCTTTGGCAACAGCCACCTCCATTTATCAAGACGTCCTTTTACTTTTTCTAAAACACCCTCCCAGTTTTTACTGACAAAAGTTTCATTCCCCAAAAACACTCCCAAATATTTAAAACCTCCTGACTTCCAAAAGAGGCCTCCAGGCAGACTGAGCCGACCCCTCAGCTTCTCTCCCACCATCACTGCTTCACTTTTCAGCCAGTTCACTTTGGCAGAAGATATCGACCCAAACAAAATCACAGTTTCTTTTAAAACATCGATATCTCTCTGCTGATTAACAAAAATAATGACGTCATCAGCATATGCTGACAATTTAAAACTGACTTCTGAGGCAGGAAAACGAACACCAGAGAGACCTGACCTCAGTCTGTGAAGCAGGGGTTCGATGGCTAAGGAATATAACATCCCAGATAATGAGCAGCCCTGCCTCACCCCCCTCTGTACACTAAAAGGAGCACTCAGGCCTCCGTTGATCTTTAGCACACTCGCAATGTCACGGTACAAAACCTGGATCTTAGCTAAGAAACATGGGTTGAACCCAAAGGCGGTTAGAGTCCGCCATAGATACTGGTGTTCAACCCGATCAAAAGCCTTTTCCTGGTCTAGTGAAATCAGACCAGTGTCTACAGCCAATGAACCAGAGACTTCCAAAACATGCCGAATAAGAGTGATGTTATCACTGATGAGCCTGCCGGCACACAGTAGGTCTGGTCTGTGTGGATGATCGACCCCATCACCTGCCTTAGTCTGGATGCCAGGACCTTAGACAGGATTTTGTAGTCTGTGCAAAGTAATGACACTGGTCTCCAGTTCTTTAGATCCTGAAGGTCGCCTTTCTTTGGCAGCAGAGTGATGACTGCTCTCCTGCAGCTCAGAGGCAGACGACCCCTCTCCAAACTGTCTCTTAAAACCTCCAGGAGATCC